TCCGGTGTATCGATCTTCATTTTCCTTGGATCTATTCTATGCTTTGCTATTATGGGACGAATAAGGGAACTACCGAATTTGCGAATTACTTTCAGCAATACCATTCAAGATCATTACACAATCTCTGCAACTATTGGAGTAAAACTTTAAAGTGTTTAAAAAAGTACTGTCAGAATGGTAGGGGAAGTGCCAAAAACTGATTCTATCGCAATCATCTACAATGTTTATTTTGATCACTGGTCATAATACAGAAATGCTAATACATACAAGAAATCATTCGGCACATCCAATAGCAAGGGCATTATTGAAAGACGACACACCAGCAGAGCATGGGTAACGCACAAACCGAGGAGAAGACTCCCTTCTGACAAGAAAAAGATGCACCAATATACCGCTAAGAAACCCAGACACCCATGTCTCAATTTTCGAAGAAAATCAACTTATAATCGAACATAGCAACACTACAGAATAATGCTTAAAGCTTGGTGGAGTCAGCTGTTGTTCGAATTTAAGTAAAAATTTCGAGAAGCGAAAGAAGATAATCAGAAGTTAGATAATGTATTGGTTAAGATTGACTAGAAACGTTGTCAAAACGGGGTTAGTAGCAAACAAGAAAGAAAGAAAGATAACAAAACCTAGTCAGCAATTATACCAAAAATTCAAAAAAGAAGCGAAAGTGCGAAAAGAATGGCTAAAAAAGATTGGCAAATGAGGGACAGTCGCCAAGAAAGACGACGTAAAGCAACTAAAAACACGAATAAATATTATTATGAGTGCAGCTAATGTGAATCACGCTAACATAGATTAAGCATCCATAGAAGCACAAGTGACTTCAATCATGAGAACTGGATAGTACTACCAGCAGTTGTTCGTCACAGATAACGAAACTCGATGCATAAGGCAGCGATGAAAAGATAAAACAAATCAATTAGCATCTACCCCAAAAAAATAACATCATCATTGCCCCATACAAGAAAATGATGTAGAAGATCAAAGTCCAGATCTATAACAACCATAAAACTCAAACCCATGCCTAAAAAATGTTGCAGAAGCGAACATAAATTTACAGTAAAAACAGGAAGCATTCATGGATAACCAGCGTCAAAATCCAAAAGAATAACTTTGGTATCTTCAGTGCCATTCCTAGACCCAGCAGCACAAGCAAGAAGGTTGTTAGTGGCTTTGAGACGCCAAATGCAGCCACCGCTCCCCCCGGACGACAATCTTACAAGATCACGAATAAATTCACCTGAATAAAATAATTTGATGTACCGAACATGGATGCAAACGATGGCGTGTTACTGGCCTTTCATGACATCCCACAGCTTCACCGCTCCATCATCTCCGCTAGTCACCACTATTCCATTATCCAGGAACTGAAGAGAGGTGATAGCTGAAGTGTGACCATTGGGGCCGTGAAGTCGATACATACATGATCCATCTCGTATATTCCATACCTAAGGACGATTTTGCAAGAAAAATCAATGAGAAACGATTCCAATAAAAAAACTCACTCTCACGTCACTATCGGCATTGCAAGATACCAGAATATCGCCTCTAAGCTGCATACCCGATGTTA